AAAATCACTTCCTTGAAGAATTACCTCAAAGTACAACTCAAAATTCCCCTGATAGTCACACAAAGCATAATCGATAAGTTTTGTTATAAAATGAAGAAAAATTTCAAGAAGGACATATGGAATAGCCATTGCAAAAAAGCTATAGAGTGGGAAAAGAAGCAGAATATTATTGAAAAGGATAAATGAATCAAAAGACATGGGTACAGATCTATCATGCAGGTCATACAAGAACAGGAAAAAAGAAACCACACTTGTAGAAGATCCGAAACAAGAAGTCTCTGAAAGAAAGAAGGAAATGAAGTACATAGAAATTATTAAGAATTGGATTTGTAATGGAAGGAAATAATTTGATTTTTAACTGCAGTTAAAATTTAGAATAATTTACAGTAATGACCTGTAGGTAATGATTTTATTGATTAGAAGATTTATTCAAGTCAGTAAAGAAATGAAATATTATTTCCTAAGTTGCATCTAGAAAAATAATTTTTCGACGACAGTTGAGTTAATATGTGAAAGTCAAAATAATTTGTAAATATCTGATATATATACAATAAAGACAAGTCATACTAACTTAATTACGAATTAAAAAAAAAAAAATTAAATAAAATTTTTTTCATTAATTCTTTAATCATATATAAAAAAAAACATTTATAAGAAGTTTTTATACTTCTTGACTAATAAAATTTTTTCATTTTTTTTTAAATTATTTTGAAATTTATTTTTAAGAGTCTCTATTATCTTTTTTTATTTATTTATAAATTTCTTTAAACAAAAACTTGAGTTTCTGATAGTTTAAATAAATTCAAACATGTATTTTCTTTATTAAAGACAAGAATTTTTTAAGAAGTAAAAAAATCATCTTGTGAAGTGTTATTTTTTAAAGTTAAAAGTAACATAGTAATAATGATTTTTTAGATAAGTGAATACTTATTATTTATATTCTTATACTGTATACTGTCTCTTTTTCTCTTAAAGAATCTATAATTTTTTATAGTTTTTAGATAGTTTTGTCTACTTTTGCTTAACCTTAAATTTTTGATAATACAATATTACCTGATTTTAATTAACTAATATAAAACATATTAATAATAGAATGTAAACAAGTTTTTATAATTATACTTATGTATTTTGATAATATTATTAATAAAGAAAAGAGAAATTGTTAATGTAAAATCTTTTATTTTTTCAAATAAAGTATAATTGAAATAAAGAAATTATAAACCCATTAAAATGAACATTAAATTCTTTAGATAATAAAAAAATAATTATTTAATTAAGCTGAGATCTTCAACTTTTTATTATTTTAATTAAGTAAAGTATACAAAAAATTTTATTTCTTTATTCTAGTCAAGCAGTAAAACTAAAAAAAAAAAAAAAATTATAAGCCACTAACTTTTTTAGAATTGTGAATATATTTCTCAAATATTATATAATAATACTGTATCATTATTGATAAGAATCTCAATTATTCTATAATATCTTCTTATTATTATAAGATAAAAAGATTATTGAGAATTAGACTTTTTAAGCAATAGAAAATATTTACCAGTAAAATTCTTTTAACTAGATATGGTTACTAAAAATATTGAAAATTATATAATATAACTGAATGATTATATAGGAATCTGAAATCTATTATAAGTTATAGTTAGAATATGGATAAATATAAAATCAATATCAAAAGAAAAAAGTATTATACAAGATATTGGATCTAAGTAGGTAATAAGTATCTTAAATAATTACAAAAAAATAATAATTATTATAGATAGATAAGCTTCTTAAATGGTTATATTAATTAAAATTATATTATTTAACAGCTAAATTATTACTGAATTTGATTAAATTTAATAATAAAAATATTATTAAATTCTTTTTAATTACTATTATTTAGTATATTATTATTTTGACACTAAAGGATAATCTAAAATTTGGTAATCAAAAATTCATCAATTAATAGTTTAACAATAAATTGTCAAAAAATTTATTACTGATTTATTAAATAATTTATTAATTATTTGGTAAAAATTCATTAACAATTCAATAAACTTCATTATAAAATTATTTATTAGCAATTCAACAAAAATTCAATAAATAATTTATTAAAATTCTTTATTAAAAATTCATTAACTATTTACTAAAAAATTTGTAACTATTTATTAAAATTATTTATTAAAAGTCTATTAATTATTTATTAAAAATTCAGTAACTATTTATTTATTATTTAATAAAAATTTATAAAACTTGTGAAAAAAATTATTAAATTATTTGATATTAATTATATAATTAATTAAATTATAATATAAATTATATATTATATATTATAATACAATTTTTATTATTCATAATTTATAAATAAAATAGTTAAAAGTGTAATAAAATGGTTAGGTTTTAGACTTGGTTAAAACTTTGGCCAGTGATCTGTAGTAGTAACTACAGGTAATAATGTTTATAGTGAAGGGCATTCATCCAAACTATAAATGAAGCAACAAATCATATCTAAAGTTGTACTTAGAGTTTAACAACAAATTAAGATAAGTGAGTTAGTTAGCATTCTAACTTTAACAATACTGTAAATAATATAGCCTACATTATGTTTAATAATATACACATAACTAACCTGACAGTAGGTTAAAAAAAAATAATAATAATAATTTATAAATAAAATTTCAATTCAAAAAAATTCACATATAAGTTTATCAATTTTTTTACTTTATTGCTAATGAATAGTTACTAAATTTTTAATGAATGATTAATGAACTTTTAATGAATAGTTTTGATAGATAGTTATCAAATTTTTAATAAATATTTGATGAATTTTTAATAAATAATTTTGATAAATAGTTGTTAAATTATTAATAAATAATTTTGATAAATAGTTGTTAAATTATTAATAAATTAATATCAAATTTTTATTAAATTGTTAATAAATAATTTTGTAATAAACTTTTATTAAATTATAATAAATTTTTATTGAATTGTTAATAAATTTTTTAATAAATTGTTAATAAATTAGGAATATATTAATTTTATAATATTTATAATCTAATTATATAACACAATTATATATTTTTAGATATATCTTTTTTTTTTTATTTTTATTTTTTTTTTTATAATTTTTTGAAATTAGTTCTTGAAGAATAATAAGTAGTATTAATCTATAAGTAATAATATGTAAATTAGAAGAATATTTATTTAAAACTTATTATAAAGTAAAATATTGTTCTCAAAATTATACTTAAAGGTTAAAACTTATTTGAGAATTAAAAATTATTGATTAGTAAGTTAACATAAAATTTAGTTTAGTTATAATATGGTACAATTGTTTTATATATTTTTATTAATTTTCGTAATAATTAATAAACACATTATATTGATATGATCACAGGTTTGAAAAAATTTTTTTTTAAAATTTAAAAATTAATAAATTTATGATTTATAATAAAGATATAATAAATAAATTCAAACTTTTGAAATTAACCATATATATTTTTTTTTTAAAAAAAGATTTTTAATATTATACTATGGATTTTTTTAAAAAATTTTTTTCTTGTTATAAATAGAAAATAATATTTTTTGACTTTTCTTAATTATCAAATTTAAATTTTTGTGTAAAAAAAAAATATAAACAAGAAAAAAAATTAAAATCAATTATTGAAATTATTTTTCAAGTTATTTTAAGAAAAGTAGTAATATAGAAGTATAAAACTTCTTACAACTATTTTTTTATACTATATATTGTTAATGAATTAATAAAAAAAAGTTTAATAATTTTTATTTGTTTTTTTTTATATATTTTAATATACATACATTTCAGATATAATTTAATTTAATAATTTATTGATTTTGAAATAATAAAGATCTTTTAATTAAAATATTTAAAATATAATATCTAAAAAAGAACAAAATATTATCTTTTAAATTCAATTTAAAGTATCTAGTTGGGAACTTTATTTTATTTAGTTCAATTTAATTCAATAAACTTTCTTATATTTTTTAAGTAATTTAATTCATTAACTAAAGTGTTTATTAAAAAAATAAATAAATAAACAATTCATATTTTTTTTTATAAAATTTATAAGTAAATTATTTGTTTTAGAAATTTTTTTACTATACTCGTTTGACATAGGTATGATGCATAATAAAAAATATTAAATTTAAAACTTTATTATGCGACATTGATTAAGAAAGGTCAAATTACAAATAGGCAGAGATCATGCATTTTAGAATTCAAAAAAATTTTTTTATAAAAAGATTATTATAAAAGATTTCGCATTTGATAAAAAAGAATCGAAGAATTACCATCACAAAGCCACCAATTAAAAAAAAAAAATCCCCCCACCAAATTAGAAATATTAGTGTAAGCTCGTTTGAACTGGTTGCTGATTCTAAAGCTTATATTTCAAGATGGACATAACATTCTTTTAACATGTGACTCGCGCTTTTTTTTTTCTTTGTTTGATCCACGCTATGGATTACATAATCACTAATTTTAAAGTTAATGAGTATATATGCAGTATAAGCCATAATCTTTGATTCTTTGATTCTGAAAAAATAAATTTTTTATGCATAAGAATCAAATTTCCTTTTCGAATTAGTGGCAGTACTCGCCGATCAAGAGTAACTTATGAAACGTTCCTTGCCACTTTCTCATCGACTGCTTAGCTTACATTACATATTAAAGTAGTTTGATCAAGATCAAGATAACCCCTATTTCGTTTGCGCTCAAAATATGCATACAATATTTTTGAAATCAACATTATAGTAAACAAAAAAATTGCGTGTTGGAATCATTCGTCGCGCTTACATTAAAAAGGATTACGATCTAACTATTATCTTTTATTCAACTGTAAAATGCATTCCGCACTTATCGTGCGCCATCTTTTTGAATGTGATCACGTGGTTGTCACGCTTTAAAGATCTCGTAACAAATCTCATCCAATAAAAATGCTCACATGTATAATATACATTCGTCATCAAAACTTTTTTTTCCTTTACGAGAAATGAGCAATTATCGTGAAAAAGGAAATGTCGCATTTAAAAAAGGAGATTTCCTTACAGCATGGACTCTGTATACACAAGGCCTCTCCGAAGAACCTACGGACCCATTTCTCTGGTGTAATCGTTCCTTGGTAAACATTAAATTGGAGACATTCGAACTTGGATACATGGATGCCCTGAAAGCTCATAACATCTTAACTTCCCCTGATATTCCTGATCCAAATTCTCCGTACTCTAGCAAACTATTAGAAGACACAAACTTGCAGAATCTTCTCATAAAAACCTACAAGCGAATGGCCGAATCAATGTCATTATTTGGAGTTTCCCGACGGGCGGCTACCATCCTGGAAAGTTTATTAGACCACCCGACATACAGCAAATATATTATAAATAATAAAGATAGGGAAGACTTTAAGGTCAATCTTGGAAAGTATCGAGATAGATCGAAATTGACACTTAAAACACTGGAAGAATCAATTCCCGCTACAAATGTCTCGAAGCAAGAATATATCGATAAGTGTTTGGACATGGGATCAAGCAATTTTGATTATCGGTGGGATAGAAAGCGACAGGAGGATAGGTGTTCCGATGCGAACGTTCGAGAACTCCAGAAAGAATTAACACCCTATCTTCGGCGTAATGTCAGCGTTGGCAGGGTAGCATTTGTCAATGGAAACAATTCTTCAAGCGAGAAATTTTCGTCGTTTCAAATGGGAATTTTTGCGGAAGAAGATATCCCGGAAAATGAGGTGATCTTGAAGGAGGAATCATTCCTCGTGGTTCATCCTTACACAATTCCAAGGTGTCATCATTGCGCGCGTCGCATCAGGGGCACCAACAACGAACACCCAAAAGCTCCTCCGAATTTCAAATGTGAGAAGTCCAATTGCAATGAGGTGTTCTGTAGCAAACGATGTTACAAAATGGCTGAATTACAATATCACACTGCTTTGTGTGGTAAAGACCTTCAACCTTTCTTGTCGCTCGTTCGCCAACGAAAATCCGGGAATAATGATAAAAGTCCCATGATGCTTTTAAAACTTTTTGCCATAGCGAAAATTCAAAAAATCACCCCTCTGAACGTTTCAAATCTAAGATTCCTTTCTCAATTTCATCCTTCGAAGCTCCCATCATCATTGACTAACACCACGACCACTCTTCCAGCAATATTAATCGATTTCTATTTAGAAACCCTAAACATATTAGGCATCTCTCCGTACGACGTGAACTATGACTTTTGGATCTACATCACACTATTTAATATCCTGAGAGTCAACGTGTTTGGATCTCCCGGATACTTGTGTCTATATAGGTTCACGTCTTTGATCAACCATTCCTGTCAGTCCAATATCGCTTCACTTCATGTGACTTCCGAAGATGAAGATTATGCCTCCAAACACGAGATCGAGGAGAATGACATGGTGATCATTTCTTCGAGAGAGATCAAACGAGGTGAACAGATATTTACAAGTTATTGTGACCCAACGATTAGTAAAGTGAAGAGGGGAATGGTTTTGGTGCCTACATATGGGTTTGAATGTGATTGTGAGAAATGTAAGAACGAAGAGCCCAATGATCTAAGTTCTTTGTATTCTATTCCTTTGTGGCTTATCAGCACTCCTAAAGAATAATCATTCGATGAAAGACACGTCGGTGCATACCTGTGAAACGATCTGTGCACCAATATAAAAAAATAAAGTGTTTATGATTGATGACGAAATTTTACTTTTTCATGCGTAACACTGCATATGCGAAATCTGTGCTTTGGTGGTATATTACATTTTTGTGCGGAAATACAATACATACATATACTTACATACAGTAGGTTTCTATGAGGTGTCGAAAAGACAATCGCTTTTGGATTTATTAAACAGAAAAATTTGGATTCGCGTGGTGCGCTGATTTCCAAATTTGCATTCGCTCAAAGATACAAGTTTTCTTTTGTATGCACGAAAGTGTGTACGTAAGCACATGTGTTGCTGCGAGGGGTGAAATGGTACCTTAATTGAATTTGCATACGATACGATTTTCTTTGGAAAAACTTAAAGCAAATCTTGAAAGGCTTTGACGGTAGTTATTGAGTGTGACTGTCAATATTTAGTAATCGTTTCAGTATTGCGTTCAGTTGATGACGAAATACCGGTTAATGGATCAAAATTCAAATCACTCTCCATTTGAGCATCTCCGTTTACTTTTTCATGCACGCCCATCAAGTTACCTGCGAAAAAATGTTAAGGGTTCAAGAGAAAGAGTGAGAAATTTGAGGTATGCGATGATAGACACAAATATTTTCATCTTGCTAAACATTTGATAATAAAATATTGATGTGGCTTAGGATTAATAGGTCAGCATCAACGGAAATTCGCTTGCTGGCGTTTTCCTAGTTTTTCCTAGTTTTCCTAGTCTCATTTCATAAAATTTTCGAGAGCGATCAACATTCCATCAGTCGCACAAACCTTTATAATCGTCGTCGTGCAGATGATTACCTGATAAGCAGCCTTCGGGTATGCATGTACGTGCATTTAATATAAATAATATTTTAAACGTGCTCTGAAATTTGTTTTCCACAATTGGAGGAGATCGGAAATAAATGCTGAAACATTAAACGCGAAAATTTACGCATCAACAGGTTAGTTATCTTTATTGTATGCGGTTTTTTTTTTTTTTTTTTTTTTTTTTTTTTAATGGTGCGGCGTAAATAGTCGTCGATCCCATTTCAATAAGTTACCTCACACCGCAGTCACCGATCCAATCTTCTCACAGGTGATTGTTATGATGACCGTATTTAGACACAGTGACGATATTTAAAGGTTCTTTTTCTTTTTTTGAACCTTTCAAGATAATTTTCTCCTTTTTTTTTTTCGCCTGCTCTCACCTTTACCTCAACAACTTTACGCTGCGTGTTTTTTCTCCCGTGACCCTTTGATCCAAAAAGTCACTTGCATTGAAAATATTCACGACTTTCCCGGCCCATATATCTGGACCTACGAATCGAAAGGAACCGATACTGTTTGTCATCAGATTCACTCGCGGCACCATGATGATGGCTTTATTCTTGATTAACAAAATAATGGATTTCGCGTTGGCATCATCCGAGATTCTTATCGGAACATGCCTCTTCTATTTCATCTTTTGCTCTCTAACACCCTTTTGCGAGTTGATTATGACTCACTTCAAGACGTCTTTCAACCGTACCTGCAATCAACCTCGGGTAAGTAAACCCGAGATGATTTGTGATGAAGAGATGATGAGACTTGTAACCTATCATTATGTGGAGCGGGATCAACCGCACAAACGCGTCCCCACCGGAAAGCAACAAGAGGAAATGATTCCTTTAAGTGTCTTCCGCGAGTCAGACCTGAAGGGGATCGCCGTTTGGTTCATCTGCATCCTTCTTTCAGTTTCACTCTTACTCAACGTCTCTTATTTTTTGATATCCTCACTCAACATTCTTTTCGGCGCGTGTCTTGTCCACGTCATCTTGCTCTCTTTTGCACCTCTTCGTGAGATGTTTACTACTCACCTCACAAGGAATAACCAGGTGTCATTAAATAATTATGACGTTATCCACGATATGGAAATGTCGAACCCTGTCCTCTTCCGCGAGAGCGGCTCCGAGAAACCCGCGCCTGAATGCGATGGTCGACGAACCGTGAAAAACACGAGCTTTGTCAATAATTTGTTATTTAATCTGTGTCTGACTCAAATACCGTTTGTCAACTTGTCGATTCCAAAGTTCCCTGATCTAGGGAAACCGGCAAACTCGGAGGTCGCCCGAGAACCAGAAACAAAGATCGACGAGATCAATCAAGGCACATCATTGGACAAACCCAAATTAGGCGAAGATCAAGAACAATCAACCGAAAATCCGGAATTAGAAAAAATGATAGAAAAGATCGGCGAGTTACCAGTTTTATTGGAAGAAATCAAAACCACCGAACAAATTACGACGAGCGACAGTACGTCACTTTCAGACTCAGAATGTACAGATGAAATGTGGGGAAAACAAAAACTGCTAAATGATGATCCGCAAATCGCTGCTGCGCCAGAAATAAATGCTAAAATTAAAGAAATTCCCGAGATGTCTATTACTCCATTTGTTGAAATCAATGAAAATTCAAAGGCTGTTCTTCCTGAGGTCTCATTGCTAGTAAAAGATGAAACGATCGAAGAGATTTCAAGAGTTGTTACCTCGGCACGAGGGGTCAAAATAAAGGAGATTCCCGAAATAAGTGTTACACAAGTACAGGGAGTTGGAACTAAGGAAATTCCACTTGAAAAAGTTAATGATATAGAGTTAGGAGACGGTAACACACAAACAATCGTAAGTGCCGGAGCGGAATTTGAGAGAGTAGAACTAATGACAAATCCAGAAGAGATTAAAGAAACTTCGGAATGGCAATATACCGTGCAAGTTCGAGAGGTTGAGAAGAGCGATGACGCAACAATCTCCTTGAACCTGGATTTCGATGGATCCAGCGAATCAGAATCGGCATCGATATCAACTTTGGAAGATCATGTTGAAGTGTTCAAATCTCATAGGCCCGTGTATGAGCCTTTTGTCGAAGTTCATGTTGCACCGCCGAGTGAACTTTTTCTCAACGACGTGATCACTCAACTCGATCAAGAGATTAAGATAATCGCAGAGCACGAAAAAAGAGCGAAATCTCTAATCGAAGAGAAAGAGAAAAAAGAAGAACGAGATCAAGAATACGAGGTGACCAAACAAATTCAGTACAGATTGATGAAACAAATACACATAATCGACTATCAAAAAAGACAATATGAAATTCAGGAAAAAGAAAACATCCTCTCTCCCGTAAGTACAAATGATGAATATTAACTTTAACTCCGAAATAGATGTCTCGTCTCATTTTGCCGTACACGTATTTCAGGAAACCAGCTCGGTCTCGGTTCCTGCGTTCACAATAGAGTCAGTGGATTTCCAAAAATTCGCTGTCTACGTTATCATGGTGCAACGAAGGGACAAGGACGGCAGGCTAAAGTCTGGATGGTTACTGTCGCGTCGATATAATGAATTCTTTGCACTCTACCAACACTTGAGGAAGAGGCAACTGTGCGGGTTTAACTTCCCCGGAAAAACTTTGTTCCCAAACTTGAATAATGATTTCTTGGAATTTCGAAGGGGAAGGTTTAATGAACTCATGCAGGTAATATGATTATTATTCATGAAAATTATGTCCCCCTCTCCTGCCTTACACGTTCATATGTTTCTTTAGGTTTTGATTTCAAACCCCAAAGTTTGCGACGACAATGAATTCCGGAAATTCCTTCAAAAATAAAAATGCAATGTACCGGAGAAGGAAGAAACCAGCGACGATATCAAAATTCATCATATTACGTTCATGAATAGATTAAGTGGTGGTGGTTGCGGTCATGTCGAAATGTAAATATACAGCGCTCAAACACTTAGAAAACCTCACTTTTTTTGTTTTTTTTTTTTTTTTTTTTTTTACTTCAATACATTTTTTCCTTTATTTTGGTAATATTTTTTCACACTACACTTTTATATATAAAATTCATTATTTTTGGAATCATCTGCTGAACGATATTGTAGCATTAAAGAAATTCTGCATTATGTCAAATAAAATTTTTAGTATCAAAACTTTAATTTCGATAATGTTCTCAACGACTTTTTTTTTTCCTGAATTTCTCGATAAATTAATTACATGCATGGTAAGCTCTGAATTTTATTGACGCAAAGATTTTACATAGCAGTTTATACAAGTGTATCTGGTTTTGATTAATTCTCTAGTTGCGATTCAAAGGTGACTTGCCCCAATAGATCATAGAATCATAAACGAACCCTGCTGATAAGCCACCAATCACCGGAGCAACCAATGGCACCCAAAAGTAAAAATGAGACGTGGTGAACACTTCCACCCCATAACCAACTAAAAATGTAAACAAACGAGGGCCGAAGTCGCGAGCTCCATTCAGTGCAAATCCTGTTTCGTAACCAAGGGAAATGGCGATGGTGAAAAGTCCTAAACCGATCGTGAGAGGTGCCACGATGGTGGTGCTTGGATGATTACGAACGTTATCGGTCACGGAAAGAATAACCAACAATAGAAAGAAGGTGCCAAGTGCTTCGGAAAAGAATGAACCTATGATGCCCATGAACGGAGCAGGATAGGTTGCGAATATCCCGGCTGTGGCATTTGCACCTTTCGTTTTATATTTTGAATCGTACGTGTTCAGCAATCTTAAGCACTTGTAACATAGTGCTTAAAACAAAGACTCACCAGAAACGATACGTTGTCCTCCGTCAAAGTTTGCGAGAGCAGAATGATAATTCAGGTAGATAACAGCCGCAGCTACGAAAGCGCCAGTAGTTTGGGCGAGGATGTAAATGGGAACTTTCAACCAAGGGAAGCTACGATAGACGGCAAGGGTGATTGTGACGGCCGGATTCAAATGTCCTCCCTGTTTTTTCGCGTCAAGGTATTGAAAAATGTGTAGGTACTGAGACATCTCTTCATCAAAAGCGTTATCGACATACCGAAACACTCCCGGATACAGCCAAAGCCAAAGCCAATCCCAATCCGAATCCGAGGGAGATGGTAATCCAATTTCCGTTTTCTCCCTTACTGAGCACAGTCTGAGCGATACTACCAACCCCAAAGGTCACCAGTGTAAAGGTGCCTAAAAACTCGGCAAAAGGTTCACGAAATTTATGTTTAATGAACGACCAACCGTGGGGGTCGATGTGAACTTCCTGAATTTGCTGTGTACTTGACCCCGCTTCATTATCAATAGTTCCATAGTTGGCACTGCTGCTTTTGCCGTTAAGAGCTCCTCGTTCACCATCCATTCTTGTATTTATCTGTTGATCTTAGCGAGAGGATTTCGAGAGATTAATTGAAAAGCTCTCAATGTGCATCTCTGAAAATTCGCATAAAAAATATTGAGAAGCTTACGATTTCCGCGAGAGGAAAATTCGATATCCCCTCTACGCATAATCCCCTCCAATGTTTATAAACACATCACAATTGGAAATTCTCATTAGTGCAACCTGTCTCTTAAAAACAAATCACGTGCAATGCATCTTACGTATTATTGGCGTACGACGCGTTTACGCCTCAGTAAGTCAGTAAGACAATGCTCATTTTTGTCGTGACGCTTCGGGAGTCAACACCAAAAAAAAAGACAGTACGACAGATAGGAACAGAAAAATTGATTACCAGAATTAGGTTTTCCGTAAAAGATGATGATCAGTGTACGCCTTGTGCAGAAATTCCAAATAATACATATTAACAATAAAAATAACGACATACTGTATTTACCTGCGAGTCTGAAAATGTTTCTCATCATAATCTCATAATCTCACAAGCTACGAGGCCCTTTTCGACGGAAAATCGAATAGAACTTTAGTGCAATAATCAATCAATTCGTTACGTCAAATTCAATAGAATAAATTACTCTGGACCTCAATCATTTCATCGTGTTCTACGAAACAAATGTCACACGAATGAAATCGGATCTGGAATCTCCAGTTTTGTATTTTGTGCACAGTACGGCTGTCGTCCAAATGAAACCTTATTTTGGACGATAATTGACGATTTAATGTATGCGTGGTGTCTCATACATACTACAAGTTTTGTGAACTTTATCAATAAAAAACTTTTTTCAGTTCAAACTTACGTCATAACCAAATTTACAACGCAATGCGATATACAAAATATACAAGTCAATATCGTTGAAGAACCTTTTATATACGTACATTAATGTGATAGTATCTTCGCTTTTAAAATTAGTGCGTATAAATTTTTTTGCTTGAAATTCGGTATATTAAATTAATTTATTTTTATGGTTTTATTGAGAGATTAAACATTATCAATATTACATTGACTTCCACGTGATAAAATATTAGTCTTTGTAAGATTTTGAAGTAATCGATAAAATTTTATTCAAAAAAAATTATTTATTCAAAATCCTATATGTAATCAAAGAATTGGAGCTTAGTATGAACTAGAGATCATTCGGTCTTATTGCTTAATCAGGATAAAAAAGAAGATCATGGGTTTGAACTTTGTTTGATCGAAATAATAAAAGAGAAAAATCTCAGCTGGAATAAATAGCAACTTTTTCATCACTTGGAAACTTGTTGCTCATATCTTATTGATCTCATAAAACTTGATCTGTAGGTTAATCCAATTGAAGAAATAGAGCAGAAATGGGGTACTAATCAACTCTTTTTATTATCAATGCTGTTATTGGAATATATGAGGTGACCAATAGAAACTTGTTTACATTCAGCTAGTAATATGTTTTATGTCCACCAATTATATTTGCAATAGATTGTATCACCTACAGTAAAATTTAGGGTCAAATTGAAATAGACAAAAATTTTTAGAAAATCAAAAAAATTTTAAGCAACTATAAGAAAAAAGAAATAATAAACAGATACTTTTAAAATATGGCTTGATGTTCATCCACCTTTCATTACACAAAACCTTTATAAATATGCTTCAATATAAAAGGCTTTGAGTATTATACTATTAGTTTTTCTTTATTACAGAATTTTTTTGTCATAGATAAAATGGTGTTTCTTAACTTTCTAGGTTACAGGAAGTCAAGTTTTTGTTGAAAATGAATATAAACAAGAAAGGAGGTTTAGGAATATCTCTTGAAGTAAAACTTCAAGTTGGTTTAGAGATAGTGTTAAGATTTTATTAATAAAAAAATAAAATATTTCTTGTAAATATCTTTTTTGTATATGGATAGAGAATCAATAAAAAAAGTTTTTTTTTTTATTAGAGCTTCAAAACTATTCAAATCATTGCCAACAATTTATTGCTATTGGTTATTTCAAAAAATGATAAATTTCTAAAGTAATTAAGAAAAAAAGAAAAAAGAAACAATTCAAAATATTCTTAAAAAGTTCTTTGTCTATTTAATAGTATTTTATCAAAATATATTTGTTTAATTAAACCATTATTCATGTTTTATTTGAATTTTAAAAAGAAATTCTTCTTTGTTACCATCTATTATATTTTATACTAGTTTATTATTTAAGCAAACATCAAATTAAAATATCTTAAAAAAAATAAAGATCTCAATTTTTTTTTCTTAAAAAAGTCTTTTTATTACTTGAAAAACTTAAATAAAGAAAAAAATCAGATTGTTTATATTATTTTTTGCAATGTCTTTTAATATTACAATTATTTTACTAAAGAATTTGCTCAGTTAAAAGTAAATATTTTTTAGAACTTTTATTTTTTATTATTATTGATATAATTAGATTATATTAATGTAATCAATAAAAGCTTATTTATTTTTTGTAAACTAATATATTTTGTATTAATTATTATCTTTAATAAATTTAAAATTCATAATCAAATTGAAGTTGATAAATTTTTCACAAAAATCATAAAAATAAAAGTTCTAAAAAAATCAAAACAGTTTAAAAAGAAAAATATAAACTTTTTTATTACAGTATATAAAATCTTTATAATCTCTTATTTCAAAGATTAAAAAAACCTTTTGACATTTTATTATTAATACTTATTCTTTTGAAAACTTTCTTATTATTGGTATTAAAAGTATTACTTAACTTTTTTTAACTATCAGGATTCAAGTTTTTGAGTAAAGTAATTTAAAGAAAAGAAGTATTAAAAATAACTTTTTAAATTATATTTTAAATTATTTTAAGAAAAGTATTAAGACTTTATTAGCAAAGAAGTCAAAAAACTTTTTTCAAGTATCTTTTTTATATGTAGTTAGAGAATCTGTGAAAAAATTTTTATAAATAATATATAATATATTTTTTCTTTTTAAACTGCAACTAGTATTAGATGCGAGTGCTTTTATTAAGAGTTAACTTAACATCTTAGATAATGAAATCCTGGGCATCACATCAATCATTTTATACAAACTATATATTTCCTATATACGTGCAGATTAATGATAACCTATCGTGGTTTTCTTTAGATAGACCCACTAACCACTCTGTGAGTAGACAGATCCAGTTAGGGGCCAGACGGTTAATACACAGTCATTGACAGCGAAACAGGCTAATTTAATATTGAGCTTTCATAAATTTTTTGTTATATTCACTAAACTAACTATATAGTATGTACCCGACGGGATTTAGTTTTATCCTCCAATACTCCCAAATATTATTCACCCAGACCTCGGAAGGGGGCACATTATCTTCTTTATCACCACCTGTGGCATCGAATCAGTCCCATTTGACTGATTTTCATTTAAGCGGAGCATTATATTGGGATATCCTGAGCTAGGAAGGTGGATGGATTGAGGTATAGGCTATGGGTCTTTCCTTACTAGGGACCTTGATTTTAATAAGGCATGATCAGCCTGTGCTGATCTTTTGGAGGGGGTAAGCTGACCACAGTTTTTGATGGAATTTGGGAGATGGTTAAAACAAGAGAAAGTTCTATAGTTTTTTTCTTGAATTTGGGTAGTGGTGGTGTTATCAAGTATCCTTTTTCATAAGTTAGGCCCACTAACTTGTCCAGAGAGAAGGTTTAATATACCATGGGATTAATGAAATGGTTCAGTAGAGGAAGGAGTGGTAGGCCTAGAAAGAAAACCTTGGGAAAGGGGAAAGCTGTCTATTGTTAGAAAGGGTATAAAACAAGAGGATAAGAGTAAACGGGAAAAAAAGAAGAGGTGGGGAAAGTTTAAGGAGTTGAGAAAAACTAAGAAGAATAAAGGTATTTTTGTCTATGACGACTCAGTCAAATGCAAGGCCTCGCTTCAGGAGTGTTCCCACCCCTAAGGACATTTCCCTTTGTCTCAGACGTTTGTCATGTGCAGAGTGCTGGTCTGCTCACGCTTCTCTAGACGTAATACCTTCCATACATCAACAAGTCAGATAACAGAGCCTCGTGTGGTATTAGCATATCTCAAACTTTGTCCACTGCATGGTTGTTATTTGCGCGCATAGAGTAAAGAAGGGGAAAGGGGAAAAGAAAATCTCTTAAAAAGGAAATTTTCACGAAGTAGGGGAAAGTGAAAAAGAGTTTTATATATAATATATTTATTATATAAATAAGTACTATATATATAAAAATTAAACAAACTATAAAACTCTTTTTACTGATCCTCTGATCATATACAAAAAAGATATTTGCAAGAAGTTTTTACACTTCCTTGTTAATAAAGTCTTAATACTTTCCTTAAAACAACTTGAAATATGACTTCAAGAGTTACTTTTACTCTTACCTTATTGCCTATAAACCTCTTCACTCAAAAACTTGACTTCTAATAATCAAGAAAAGTCAAGTAACACCTTTGATACCAATGGCAAGAAAATTCTCAAAGAAAGAAGAACAGATTGTAAAGTTCTTAAAGGTCTTTCTAACCTTTGTAAGCAAAAGGCTTATAGAGGTTTTCTATAGTAAAAAGATTTATTTTCTTCCTTTTTAACTGTCTTGATCCTCTTAGAGCTCACATGTTTATAGTTTTCTAGACAATTTTGCCTATCTCAATTTGATTCTAAATTTTGGATAGTATAAATTCTTATCAAAAGTAATTGACTGACATGAAATACATCAGTTTTTGAAATATAAACAAGCTTCTATTAGTCACATTCATATGTCTCAATATATCATTAATAATATAGAAAAGAAAGTTTTAGAAAAAATGTTCCCTCAAATTGTGTATATTCAACCTTCAGGAAACAATTATGATACCAAAAGGTAAGTGATAAGTAGGAATAGAAGATCCAACTCTTATCTCTCATTAAGTTTCTTGGATAATAAAAAGACTTTTTTGGACAAAAGCTAAGGTCTTCAAGCTTCTATTCCAATTAGACAAAGTTCTTGAAAAGATTTCTTTATTCTGATC